TTCTGAAGATTTCATAGCTAAGTGGAAGCCAGTAACTTTCTGGAAGCTCTAATAAAGCAGTCTAATACGTTCCTAGGGTTGCAATGATGTAATCAAAGCTTGACAGAAAGAAAGCCCAGAAGCCACTAGTGTCCCGAGCAATGCAAGCCATCTGTCCTCACTCTGTTTTTCCCATGCCACTGGGGTCAGGTCGTACCTGGAAGAACTGGAGCCGCTGCAGCAGGTCGGCAATGTAGCTGCCCAGGGGCTTGAGAGATGGGTATGAGCGGGCAGACCACAGGGCTGGCACCTGGACACAGAGGGAGGAAGAGGGAGTCACCACTCATCATCACATCAGCGCTAGTGCTCTTCCCACGCTCCGTACTCAGAGGGAACGGGAGAGGGGGAAGGATGGGAGATGGGAGAGAGGGAGAAAATTCAACAGGGAAAACAAACAAAAACATGAAACAAATCTAGAAATGTTCATGTGAAATTCAAGTGCTTAAAGAAGAGTGCTAAAAAACATGGGCAACAGTGGCCTCTGCCCCAGCAGGAATGTTTTGGAGTCACAGGAGCTATGGGCAGAACAACAAGTATTGATTTATACTGAGACAGTTTTAGGGTTAGGGCCGGAGGCAGAAGTCTTAGGTTTAGGATTGGGATACTGTAGTCTCCTCACATGAGCCTGGATACATAATAGTGATCCCCAAAACAACACCAGAATGCTGTGGGAATGCCCAGCCCAGTACAGAATGTCAGGGGTCGGGGGTCGTGGGTCGGGGGTCAAGGGTCGGGGGTTGGGGGTCAGGGGTCGGGGGCAGTGGAGGGCAGGGCACCTTGCCCAGCAGCAGGCTGTTGGAGGTGTCCTCCAGCTCAGGGGTGATGAGCGTCTGTCCCCTCAGTGCGTGGCCCAGCTGTGTCAGACTGTCCCGCACTGTGCCCGTCAGCTGGTTGAAGCGCCCCAGCTCCTGCGTCAGCACCGCGTTCATCGACTCGGCGTGCCGAGGGGGGAGGCGCCGCTGGACACAGGAAGACGGGGGGAGGGACCGAGAATGGGACAGTTGGAGAGTTAGAGAATCAGACTGAAGATTTCTCTTCAGTCTCACATTGTTTTAATGAGAAGCTACTGAGATTAAGCCAGTCTCTCAAATAATTAGTTGCAATTTGCTGTAGCCCTGCCCAGTAACTGTAGACTTTTTTGCTTTTTCTTTGCCCTGACTGGACTGGCAACACAAAGATTTGGACTGTTAGATCATTGCATTTAAGCTTGAAATACTGCAGGTTCCTACCTCTAATAGAAGTGGTAATAATATACTCAATATTTTGTTTGATCAGTGGTAGTGTACCACAGCATTAATGACAGAGGGAAGAAGCCTCTCACCACGATGTCATCAGTGTTGAAGGCAGGAGGTATACGGGACAAGATGTCAGCAGCCAGCTCCGCCACCAGCTCACAAGAAGACCTGCCCACAGCACTCACCTGCGGACGGTAGCACACTCACAGCACAGACCCTGCACACAGAAACACCCTGCACAACACACGACACACAGCACTGACCTGTGGACGATAGCACACACACAGCACACACCCTGCACACAGAAACACACTGGACTCTAGATCCACACAGCACTGATGCAATATACAGTATGCAACAAATCATTCCTCCATTTTCCAACTGCTTCTTCCAATTCAGGCTCGCGATGGAGCCAATTTCTATCTTGGCAAGCAACAGGCAAAAAGGCAGGGTACACCCTCTATGGGACAGCACCAGCATGTATTTGCACTGTGGGAGGAAACTAGAAACCTGGGAGACACTGCAATAACCACAAACCTGCCACTAGAGGCCGCCATATAGGGCCTCAAACACCTGTTAAATGCAGTTATTGAACTGCATGCAAGACAATCGTTGCAATAATTGTCAGAAAAGTGTGCACTCTCACATGGGAGTAACTCGTGGTTTATTTAGTAAAAAAAGAGGTCCGCCAGTGTTAGTGGTGGTTGTGTGTGTGTGTGTGTGTTAGTGTTTGAGCTCATTCCAGTAACACCGGGAGCAAGGCAAGTTATTACCCTGAACGCCTTTTGTTTTACCAGCGTGTGTGTAAATCTGTTGAAATAAAGAGGGGGGAATCAATAATAAAGAGTCCTCTTGTACTCTCACCTCCCTGGGCAGCGTGCCCAGGATGCTCTCAAACAGCTGGCTGGTCTCTTTAGTTTCCTTGGCGATGCTGGCATTCTCATGCAGACCAAACACCTGGAAACACACAAGACTGGAATGAGGCCTCAGCGGACTCTGCCATCCATCACTTACACCCTTAGTACCACAGCGAGGCATTTCAAACACTATCGCTCACTCACGCCACCAATGTCAGTTACAGTCATTCTCGATGAGATGGCTATGGAGTCAAAAGAGGCGAGCAGAGGTTTATCCTGGAAGGTAAAAAGAAGTTAATCTACAAATTCTATGAGGGTTTGCAGAAAAGAAAGGGGCGAAAACTGCACTATCGTGGTATACAAAACTGTAAGAGACAAAAAAGAGGCTATAAGCTGCAGTTTCACCCAAAGATGCTTCCATCAGGTATTGACTTAGGAGCATGAATACGTATGCAAAGCACATGTTTTAGAATTTAATCGTTTTGGCATTTTTTTCTGACATTTATCTTGTTTCATTCACACAAGTGTCCAATTTGAACCTGGGATGAACAATTTTCAACTTAAAAACTTTTCATCCTTTGCAATTCAACAGATCAGGACGTTGTTGGAAGGACATTTTGCAGGGCTCTGTGTGTTTTGTTCAGCTCCAGAGATGGAATAGTTGATTGCACTCGTGCTTTGCAGGCTGCATCCTGACATTGCAATCTGTCCAGATTCAAATTCCACTGAATTTTAGAAATCAGAATCTCTTCCCAGAACAAAATATCATAGTAAAATAGACATGAGATGGGATGGAAACTGACATGTAAATCTTTAATTTAATAAAAAAGCTCTGATGTAGAACATCGTCACTTTTACTTATTTAAAATTATAATAACTAGTTTACAATTCTATACCAAGCGTGACTGCAAGTGGACAATGAAGATGTTCTCGAGTCTGACCTCAGGGTGTTCACTCAGTGGCAGGCCCTTAATGTACTCCAGGACCTCTTGAATGCCGCCCTCTGGTGGCAGGCGGTACACACCACTGGGAGAAAAGCTGTAATTGTGGTCACTGAGCAGCAGGGGGCAGTAGCAGGTGTTTAACAGGCAGAGCAGCAGCCGGCGGTCGAAGTCATCAATGACGCGGCCCCCATAGTTACACTCTCCTGTCAAGTAGATCAGAGCTTCCCACGGCACCCTGCCAGTCTCACTCAGCAGCATCTGAAGGATGGAAAGAATCGACTGGTTTTATTTTACTAACACACTGACCTCAGAGCAGCACTATCTTTACTATAACGGGTGACCACAATTGTACAGAATACTCTAATTGAGGCCTTTGTCGCATGTTAGACAATCTTCACATCCCATCCTTCGAGTCAAGTTCCAAATTTCTAATTCTAATTCTCTTGTTTATCCTAATGTTTTGTGTGCCCTTCCCCGCCGTATACAGAAAATGAATATGTATCAACATAAAGGCCTTTTTCATAGGTAGCCTCTTCCAGTTCTGTAAGTATAGTCTGTTTGTTTCAGGATCTAGGACCTGTGTACCCTCTAGTTTCCTGGCAGGCGATGCTGTGGGAATGCAGTAGGACAAGTGGGTACAGAACCCCCAGATGCCCTTTCTTAGAAACCCAGGGTCCTCCCCAACTTGCCCTCCTACCTGCAGCTGCCTGGCACTGATGTGGAGGTCGGAGTCGTTGAACTCATATGGTGCGCTCCAGCCCAGAGAACCGTACTGACAGCGCTCCTGAACCACACCATGGAAAAAGCACAGTGCGAACAGCAGCCGGCCCCACTCCTGCAGAGAGAGAGATGCTTGCAGGAAAAACTGGCAGACAAGAGGGCGCAGAACCCCAAACCTCCCCTCCCAAACACCCCTGGATCCTCCCCACATCCTCCACCACACTCACAGCAGACCTGGTCAGGGAGTGAGCCTGCCGCAATGCGGTATGCTATCGGTCTATCCTTCTCTTAATTTTCGAACCACTTTATCCAACAGAGGGTCGCAGCGGAGCCAGAGCCCATCCCGGCAAGCAACGGGCACAAAGAGGGGTACACCCTGGACTGGACGCCAGTCCATCGCAGGGCACACACAAACACACACTCACACCAGGGCTAATTAACCTACCAGTATGTCTTTGGACCACGGGAGGAAACCTACACATACATGGGTAAAACATACAAACTACACATAGATTGTGCCCAGGAATTAAACTCAGGCCCCCAGCCCTGCGAGGCAGAAAGGCTAACCACTGTGCCTCAACACCTCTGCCATTTAAAGCCCTGGCTATAATTTTAAAAACAACTGTTGTGTACAAAAATCTTCACTTTTCTGTTCTCACTCTCTACCCCTGACCATCTTTCACTGCCTCCCCTCTTTTCTGTTTTTAATGAGCTAGAAAAAGCAGCACACATAGGAGACCCATGTGAACACAGGGAGAACATACAAACTCCATGCAGGTACCACCCCAGGAACTGAACCCAGAACCCCAGCACTGCAGGACTAACTACTGCCCCACTGTGCTGCCCCTATAATTGCTCTAAATATCTGGAAATGTACTGGAAGAGCAACTGTCTGCTCGTTGTTTTATGTCTGGCAGCACTGAGTCAGGCAGAGCACGAAAGAGCTCGAGAGACCCCTGTCCTGCTGCTGGTGGGCTCGGAGGTTGTGAGCGCGTGTGTCACTGGGCCCCACCCTCTGTGTGCTGCAGCTGCTGTAGAACTCGGGGTCCGAGATGGGGTGGGCGGCGTAGCAGCGCTGCATGCGGGCTCGCAGACCCCGGGGGGGCTGGCTGGTGATCTTCACACTGTCCCGCAGCAGGGCAGGCGGGAGAGCGGGGCAGGGGTAGGTGGTCAGCCAGAGGCGGAACGAGGGCTGAGGTCGCGTCGGGTCGGAGAGCAGCCCCTCGCACAGCTCCCCCAGCTCGCCCAGCCAGGCTCCGGCCAGGTGGCAGTTCTGTAACACCACCCAGCTCCCCTCCTCTGCAGCCTGGGGAGAGGAGGAGGGGGCAGAGGCGGGGTGAGACCGAGATGGGACCAAAGAAATCAACAGAGCCATCTTCAAGTAAAGAGGAAAACACCAAACTGTTACATCCCCGGCATCCTGCACTGTCCCTTTAAGAAGGGGTAGACCTTTCCGGAACACCCGACTACTCACCCGGGTCATCGCCACACCCTCGGCACTTCCCAGTTTTAGGAAGCTATTGCAGATTACAAGCTGCTCAGTATTTTGGAATTTCCCTCTTTGTACTCAGTGCTTTCAGCTTGGATTGTGGATTCCTGGCTTCTGAACGTATTTTCCCCTCGACAACACTTAGTTTTGTGATTACAACAATTAGGACTTAGTTTTTGGCCGCTTTGGATCTTTATTTAACTGGCTTTTGGACTTTTCAGATTTTACTGGCTTCTGGTCTATGACTTTGGGATTTCGTTTCTGGCTTGTTTTTCCCGTTTTTTTTGGACTGTGGTTTTCCTCAATTTTGGTTGTATCTCTTTGGACTATGGATTTCGGACTTGGTTTTCTTCTCTGCACAGGATCCTAAACTCCTCTCCTGGTACTTACTGGCACGAACGTAACGCAAACCATGCTTTGAGTTTGAATCAGTTTGAACCTGCAAATAGAGCAGGAATGAAGGAGTAATAATAAGATAACAACACAGAGGAGCTGGGATTGAGAGAGAGTGTCGTATTGTAGCACTCTTGGGTTCACGTGGGTATGCGCCCTCGCTGCTACCGCCTCAGGTCAGCCCCCCACCGCTGGGGACTCGAACCTAGGCCTCCGACATCACTCAACAGGGACCCAGCCCGTTGAGCTAAAGGGAGATCTCCCGTCTGCCCGGCGGCTGTGGTCCCTGCTATTCACAGGGAAGGCCGGTGACGTCACCGCTCTGGTAAGCCGGCTTGAACAACCTGCAATGGTGGCCGCACGCGTTACAGTATGTTGTGCAGTATGTCTACTGTATGTCTTATGATGCGTCTGTATTCTAAATGTCTGTAGATGTTGTGTCAATTGCATGTGCTTTGGCAACACTGTAATCCATCGGTCCTGCCAATAAAGCTGTTGGAATTGAGCTGTTTGAATTGAGTGCGGAGTGACGTTGGCCACTGACCTTCTCCATCAGCCTCCGCGCGATGTGCTCCTGCCCCTGGCCAAGAGACACACTGCACAGCACCGCTCCCTCTGGCCCTGCGGCACACACAGGCGGCGACAGTGACGCGAAGGGGTACAGGGATCAGGAGTTATGGGGTGGCAGGGAGGGAGTGAGGGAGATCAAAGGAGAAGAGGGGTATAAGCTAGTAAGACAGGAGAGGTTAGGGTTACAACTGGGCAGAGAGAAATATAAAAACATTTGTTTCTGCTGTCCTCAGCGTGGTGTTTTTTGTATTTTCTGTGACTTGGACAACAGGTTTCTCTCCAACACAACTGAATGTGAATTTAGAGAGGGAGACGGCGGAAATAAGGGGATATACCAGGGGGCAGGAACGAGGTGGAGGAGTAGGGTTGGGGGGGAGGCAGAAGAGCATACTGGGTCATAGTGGGCAAGAGGTGAGTATGGGTGGTGAGGGGGGGCGTACCGTGCTCTTGTGAAAATCTGTGCAGCACGGCCATGGGATCGGAGCCGGGGGACAGGAGAAACACCAGTGGGGTACAGTTGGAGGAGTCCGCAAAACTGCGCTGGAGGTCAAAGGTCGGTGGCTCAACGTAGGCCGGTCCCAAGTGGTCAGAAATGAACTGCAGGATAGCGGGTATAAGCTGCGAGAGGGACAGGGGGACGGAGACCCAGAAAGACAAGAGCAGTGAGAGAAGGAAAGAAGGAGAGGGGGAACAGAATGAGAAGGAGGGAGATAGGCAGGAGAGGAATGGAGAATGGTCAGAAATCCAAATCCAAAACTTAAGGGCAATAGGAAACATTCCAATGGATTTCTTGATTGGATATTACGCTGGTAGAACCACCGGATGAAAAGAGGCCTCTCCGGGAAGCATAAAAGGAGGTAATGTCCAGTTTAGCACAGTTAAGATGGAGGACCTAAATCACAAATTGCTGTCACCAGCCCCACCCCCCCAAATTCGCAGCAAGTGAGAGTCTTCTTTAAAATCTAACCACTTCTAACACTCAACAAAAACAAGCCCCTGCTGTACCTTGTCGGGCCGCAGACAGCGTAGCACCAGCAGTCTCTGGAAGGGGGAGAGGGCATCCTGCCACGGCGTGGGCAGAGGCTGCAGGTTGGGCTGGGTGGCATCGTACAGCCTCCTCCACTCCTCCGTCTGAAACACAGAACTCAGGGCTGGTTCCTCTTCCTCTCACATTCAACCTCAAGTTCACGTCATGGTGCTTCTTTGAATTCAGCGATTCCCATTTCATATGCAAAGTTTATGATCTTCCTACTCGTATGTAGCTTGTCTACATTAAATGTCATCTGCCATGTGTTTGCTCAGCCTCCAATTTTATCTATGTCCTTTTGAATGTCATTTTCTGTCTCTACAGTGCTTGGTACCACCTGCAAACCTAACTAGATTACTAACTTTAACTAACTAGTTACTAACCTAATTTACTTAACTAAAATCTAGATCATTTACAGTATAAAGATTAGGAACAGCAGTGGTCCAAGTACCGATCCCTGCAGTACTCCACTGATTGCTTCACCCCAGTTTGAACATTTACTCGTGTGTCTGAAATCTGAAACAGATAAAGAGTGTTACTTACATTGGCAGTAAAGTGTTCCTGGAGTCCAGTGAAGGCAGGCAGGGAAGACAGGCACACCAGCTCTCTCCAGGATGGCTCTTGAAGCCAGTCGGGGGCGGGGTTTGAGGGCGGGGCCTGTAGGGTCACGCCCCCGGTTAGCAAAAAGCCCCACTCGGCTTGGTCGACTTCCCCCTGGCCGCGCAGCAGACCCACACACAGCAGGAAGGAGAAGAGCAGCTTGTGCCTCTCGAACAGCGAGCGACACACCCTCTCGTACACACTGCAGGGAGAGACACAGGGGTATGAGGGAAGGGAAAGCAGAGAGAGGAGCTCACCACCAAAGGTGATCTGGAGCCCACCACAATTTAGGATGGTACTGCTGAGACCACATTAGCAAAATGGTGAGTAAACCCATCTCATGGGTTCGATTTGGTGTGGGGAGCATGAGTTTGAGGTAGATAATTGGAGCAGTGCTTAGGGCCCAGCATCAGAGGGTTGTGGGTTCAAATCCTGGGTGGGTCACTGCTATTGCACCCTTAAGCAAGGTACTTAAAGTGCTCTAGTAAACAGTATAGTAATATTGTAAACATTAGCCCTGCCGTATAGACAGGTCTCCACTGTAATTGAAAATCTGTTCTCACTGCACAGTGCTGGGGGTAAACTAGTGCTTTGGCCGTGTGATTGTTTTGACATAGTGTGTGCTCTGACCTGGAGGTGAAGTGTGCGTTGAGGTGCTCTATCCTCTCCTGCAGGGCTGTGGCCCTCTGACTCTGACAGATGGAGGCACTGTAGAGCCTGAGAAACCAGCGCAGAGAGAATTGGTACGCGGGCTCCACCCGGGCCAGGTCCCACAGCACGAAGAACAGCAGACTGCACTGGCTGGACACCTGCACACAGAGGGCAGAGGGCAGAGGGGCTGGTCAGGATGTGCAGGCCCACAAGCACACAGCATGAGACACAGGAAGGCATGTAACCAAGGAATCACTGAGTTTGGAGAAGGCTTATTTTGTTTAATTGCTGCTGCATTATTATTAGGTTACTTGCTTACTGAGTGTAAGCGGTAATATGTCCTCAGTAATATAAGCAGCATTATTTCCACACACCCGAAGAAGGCTCCACAGCCGAAACATTGTGTTTCCTTTCTTCTCTTTTCAGCATGGAATAACCCTATTACTTGTTCCTTTGCAGCCTACGCCTGCTGTCGCAGCTACTGTACCTACTTGAAATATTTCCTAGCGTATGTAGATCTTAACACCAAGGCTAGCGCGGGGGCAATAAGGGGGTCTGGTGTTCCTCACCGGCCGATACTCATCCCATGTGGCCTCGATTTCTTTCTCGGTTGCTGCCGTGACTGTCTGGCGCTCCAGAATTTCACGAGCGAGAGAGCGACTGGAGGCCAGGACGGAGAGAGCACTCTCGTCCTCCAGGATGCTGCCCTGGCACCCTGAGAGCACTCGCAACACCTCCTCCTCTATCTCCTGCAGCTGCTTCCTGAGGGAGGACAAGAAACTCAGTACTCAGTCTTTACTCAGTCTGGGAGCAAAGAAAAGGCCGTAGCTTCACACTGCTCTGAAAGAAATACAGACCGAGCGATAAAGGGAAAGACAGAGAGACCACACTGTCTTCCTCCCTTGTGTATTTGTGCTTTGCACTGTGGCTGGCTGAAATCTGACTCCTCGTGCTACGACTGACCTGAGAGTCGCGCCCTCCTGGTACAGACGTGTCCGCGTCTCCTCCAGCTCCGGTCGCTCCTTGGCGGCCAAGATACCCAGGAGCTGCTCTTGCAGGCCCCGTGGGGTCACCATGAAGTTCACCAGGGTCACCTGAAAGGGGAAAGGTCACACTGTGGACAGGGTGGAGCTTCAACTACAGACAGCAGTGTCAGGCTATAATTATGTATATGGTTTATGAAGAAAACTACACTCTCAGAACCTAGGGCACGCCTCAGACGACAGCACGCCAACTTTGTAATTTGGACTAGTTAAGCAAACACTTTGGTCTAATTATGTCATAGACCACAGAAAGAGCAAAGGGTTGAATTACTGGATCCAGGGGTAATGGATGAAATCTTGGATCCAGGGATTGATGATTGAAATCTTAGAGCTATAGGTAAGCGGTTGAATTGTAGGATGCAGGGGTTAATGGTTGAATGATCAGATCCAGGGGGTGATGTTTGAAATCTAGGAGCTAGAGGTAAGCAGTTGACATCTGGAGGCGAGAGGTGTGGGTGTAGGTGGACCAGGTGCAGAGGTGGGGTTGTGTCTTACCTTGGCGGCGGTCTCAGGCAGGTAGTGTGGGTTGGGCAGGTGGGTGGTGAGGTAGAGTCTGAAGTGGGGGCTGTAGGGCAAGGTGGTCTCCCCAAGGATTAGGTAATCTACCCCTGCCTGCTGGAATGTCTGCTTCAGCATGAGGGGGTCCAGTACAGGGTCCAGCTCCTCTCCCAACCCCTCCAACAGGACAGGAGTCCCAAACTGAGGCAGAGGTGAGGGGTAGAAGACCACAGTGTGGGGGAGGAGGAAGTGTGGGTTAAAACTCGCTCAAGCATCCTGCAGTCATTATGATGTCGAAGCGCATGAATTTCCCTTGTGGCTGATGACAAGATGACACGCAAGGTTATTTCGTTTAATTTCAGCAGCCATTTTCTGCCCAGATAGATACTCGATATAGCAATATTCTCAAAGACGTCTTGTAGGTTCTACGTTTCACTAAGCGACTGATTCAGAACTAACAAAAAAATTGTGAAACTGATTTCAATGAAGAGAGTGGGATCAGAAAGAGAATGAGTATCAAAGGGGGCTCTCAGGCACTTATCCAACCCTGAAACACGTGCATACTGTATATCTGTGAAACAGTGGACATATGGACAGCTAAGGGAGGCAGTAATGACATATACTCAGATACTGAGTATAAGATCCTCGAAATGAATTTCAGAAATACATACAGTAATATACAGGTGCAATCAGAAGCACTGTAGATAAATGTGCATTCATAGAAATCAGGGGTAAGAAAGTACTGGACCTTCTCAATTATACCAGCGCAAGTAGTTGGAAAATCCACTTCTTAATCACATAACTGGAATTATTAGTTTAAATAGACAAAGGGATGTGTGTTCCAAAAAATGTACTGTAGCGTAAATAATTTCAGGGTGCAGTATTTCAATACTGCAGGTACAGATAAGCACTTACAGAATGTAGGCAGTTGAATAACAAGAGCAGGTAGACACAAAGTCAGATGATAGCTGGGGGCTGCGGTCAGAGACAGTCAGAAACAGAGAATGAGCTTTAATATGGTAAAGCCCAGCTGGTACCCACACTGGCCTGTAGCTGTACTGACCTGTATGCAGTTGCCTAGGGTGCGGAGGTAGCCCCTCTCCCCAGCCCGACAGACCTGAAGCTGGCTGTCTCTCTCCATGGTCTTGATCCACAGCCCAGCCTGGCCCTCAGGGTCCAGCAGCAGGGGCCAGCGCTCAGCGTGACGCACGATCAGGGCGTTATCCACCGAGAACCTGGGGGGGAGGGGTGGTCAGGGTGAGACAGAGCTGGGGCTGGGGCTCAGGCACCATGGTGTGGGCAGAAAGTAAGAAAATGCTGAGAGAAAAGGACACGAGGACAAAAGGAGCAGGTAGGTAGGTCCCTTTTTAGGCCATAAAGGCCAATGGGGGGCAAGGGTCACAATTTTTCCTCAACCATCCAAGACTGGAGGTGGAGGTGATGTGGTCAGCATCATGCTCCAGCCAGTCTATTAGCCCCAGTACTCATTTGGAAAGCAGGCTGATTTGACCTGGGAGCCATCTGGAAGGAATTAGAGCAAGTTACATCACTTGCCCCTACCTGGGATTGAACCCAGGACCTTCCAGACTTCCAGCAAGTCTGAACTACCACAGCTCCAACATAAGGAGCATAAGAAGAAAAAAATATTTTATATAGCACCTTTCATGTCAGGGCATCTCAAAGAATTATATAATTAGGTTAGAATAGAGTACAAATAACAAAGAATAACACAATAAACACAGAACAAAAGCTATATACAATTAAATTAAAAATAATGTAGTTTAGGTTTCAAAAACAGACAGAGGGTTGGAATCTCACACAGATTCCAAGAGCTTAATAAGTAAATAAGGAGCCAGATTATTTAGGATGCCGTAAATCAGGTGAAGGATTTTAAAACCAAACCTAAAATTTAGAGGAAGCCAGAAGAGGAAGGCCCTAACAGTTGTGATGAGCTTGTAGGACCTAGTGTAGGTCTTGTTAATGCTGTAGCCTATAGAATAAAAGCTCACTGTGGGGGATCCTCTGTTTCGGGGTAACACAGGCACAGTGCTCAGGCGGACTGAAGGACTCACGTGTCTCGAGGCAGGCCACACTGCTGCCACTCTAGGATGGTGTGGGGGTCACCCAAGGTAGAGGACAAAGAAAAGTGGGGCGACACTGGCACTTGCTGACGCACACACTGGGACTGCCATTCGGACAACACCTCCTGAGTGAGAGACAAGGAGGAGAGGGAGCAGGGAAGGTGGGAATGGGAAAGAGGTGGCAGAGAAGAGGAAACGGGGAAGCGGGGGAGAAGAGGACGAATGACGTATCCATTTGATTGATTGATCAAACCAATTTATGGATGTTACTCAACATCCACACACCATAGCCTTTGGATTTAAATGACCAGAAACTGAATGACTGTTGACCTCCCGTGTCCACTCCAGGACTCCAGGGTGCCGCCTGCCTAAAGTGAGTGGGAATGAGAAAGAGGAGGAGAAAGGAAGGGCGAGAGGCCCCCACCTGTCTGAAGCCAGGGGTGAAGGGCCCCAGATAGGCCACCATGCCAGCACTCAGCAACACATCTCCTGCAATGTTCTGGTACGAGTCCCCAAGACGACTGGCCACCTCCTGCCAGCGCTCCCTCTCCCCCCCGAGACTGCTGATCAGCCTCTCCGCACGCTGCAGCTTCAGCCTGGAAGAACACAGAGACCATTGACACACCAGCAGGATTCCAGCTGCATTTGGGGAATACAGAGCACTGTTAACAGGCAGATCCACACAACAGCAGGATTCGCAGTACTTTTTAGGAATACAGTGTGTTTTAAACAGATACCTCCACACATACTAGCAGGATTCAAGCTGTGTCTGGGGAATACGGTGTGTTTCTAACAGGCACATCCACACACCAGCAGGATTCAAGCTGTGTCTGGGGAATACGGTGTGTTTCAACAGGCACATCCACACACTAGCAGGATCCCAGCTGTGTCTGGGGAATACAGTGTGTTTCTAACAG